ATTGCAAAGTCATGTGATGCACTAAAAACATTAATGCCTGTTGTTGGGGGCACTATGAGAGCATAGTGCCCCCAACAACAGGCATTAATATATAAATGGGTACCTAGTTTAACGATGTTAATTATGCACTATTGTTTATACGATAAATACATCATGACATCGCATTATCCATGGCTGGGTAATTCATAAAACATTAACGTTAGCAGTCGGATCATGTAAATTTTACAGAATCTCGTCATCAGTCATCATCAACGTCCATTTGTAAATGACTTATACATCTGGCAATGATTGATAATAAATCAACTCTAGTCAGTTGGCATTGCAATGTAAGCGCGTTCTAAAGCCAATACTATTTAGTGAGGCTGTACAGAGTCGTCAATTTGACATGCACGCGTAAAAAATACATGTAGATCGCTCTAGTTTGACTGACCTAACAATATATACAATAGTATTAAAGTGGTGGTGGAAGAGGGTACAGATATCTCACTTCACGTGAGTTACTACTACGTTCAGAAATAATAACTGACATTTTATTGCCAAAATCGAAATGACGAAAATGCCGAATCCTTTTAACGAGGACGTTCCGTTGGAGAGATACACTTTTAATCGACATGTGTAATATTCAGTAATAACGATATCATAATCTCAGGTAGAGTTTTCCTATCCTCCGTTCTTCGACAGAAACAACTTATAATCGGCGCGTGTAATGTTTTGTAATAACTAATAACGATATCACAATCTCAGGTGGAGTTTGCCTACCTTTCGTTGTTCGAGGGAAACGGCTTTAATTAATTGTTAATTTTTATTAATCGTTCCACAATCTCAGGTGGAGTTTTCCTACCCGCCGTTCTTCGAGGGAAACGGCTTTAATTAATTGTTAATTTTTATTAATCGTTCCACAATCTCAGGTGGAGTTTGCCTACCCTCCGTTCTTCTAGGGAAACAACTTTAATCAATTGTTAATTTTTATTAAGCGTTCCACAATCTCAGGTGGAGTTTGCCTACCTTCCGTTCTTTGAGGGAAACGGCTTTAATTAATTGTGAATTTTTATTAATCGTTTCACAATCTCAGGTGGAGTTTGCCTACCTTCCGTTCTTCGAGGGAAACGGCTTTAATTAATTGTTAATTTTTATTAATCGTTCCACAATCTCAGGTGGAGTATGCCTACCCTCCGTTCTTCGAGGGAGACGCCGTCGACAGCCACGAATTGCCCGACGAGTGGCGCCACCTGCCGTCGCTCGCGATCCCCGACGGCGCACACAACTTCCTCGAGGACTCCGTCTTCTTCCACCTTCCGTCGCGCGAGAGCGCCCGCAAGACCGTCTTCGGCGTGTCCTGCTACCGGCAGATCGCCGCGTCCGAGCTGCGCGCCGTTGCCGCCGACGTCACGCGCGCGACCGTGCAGAAGAGCGTCTGCGTGCTCACGCGCGCGCCTCTCTACGGCGTCGTTCGCGCAAAGCTCGAGCTCATCACGCACGCGTACTTCGACGAGCTCGACTTCTCGCGGCGAGGGCTCCTCGAGGAGACCTACCGCAACCTGAGCGCCGGGTTTGCGGCCGGCGTCGTCGAGACGTCGTCGCCCGCGCTCGGGCTGTCGGCGCGCGAGCTCGTCACGCGGTACCGACACCGGCTACTCGCTCTCTTTAAGCTGCTCATGCTTGAGCGACGCGTGCTGTTTTTCGGCGCGCCCGTGCGCACGCTGTCGGGGACCGTGCTCGCGCTTGTCTCGCTGTTCCCCGGCGCGCTGGAGATGGGAATGGATGAGGCGGCGTACGTGCGGCCGCGCGCCGCCGCCGACGCGCCCGTGAGAGGCGAGACGGACGAGGAGGAGGAGGAGGAGGGTGGCGAGGACGCGGCGGCGGGAGGCGAGTGTAGAGTGGGGAGAGTCGACGACGCGGAGGCGGGAGGCGAGGACGCGGCGGCAGGAGGCGAGTGCAGAGTGGGGAGAGTCGACGACGCGGCGGCGGGAGGCGAGTGTAGAGTGGGGAGAGTCGACGACACGGAGGCGGGAGGCAAGGACGCGGCGGCGGGAGGTGAGTGCAGGAGTGGGGAGAGTCGACGACGCGGCGGCGGGAGGCAAGGACGCGGCGGCGGGAGGCGAGGACGCGGCGGGGAGAGTCGACGAGATCAACGATCAAATGGACACGATGGAATCCGACGACGCGAGACATCCGAACGGCCCCGCAGGTGGCGCCGGCATCAACGCGGACGCGCGCGGGGGGAAGCGCGGGCACGAGGGCAGCACCGACAGCGGCATCGACTCTCAGTGCATCGACACGCCGGACCACCCTCCCCCGCCGACGCAGCAGCAGGGCAATGCGACTCGGGGGAGGAGGTCGGACGAGGAGGAGGAGGAGGAGGAGGGAGGACGTTCGAACGACCGGACGCTCGCCGTATCCAACGCTTCCTTCCGTCCGCTCGGCTCCACGCAGGAGTTGGACCAGCTGGACGATCTCACGATCGAACAAGCGGCGGACATGTACGCGGCGCCCTCTGGCGACGCCGTCGCGGCGAGCAACGGCGACAGGGCGTCGCCCGCGTGGGAAGCCGAGCGATTCGTCGAGGACACAGAGACGGAGGTGCCCCCTGGCGGCAGCGGCGGCGGCGTCCCGCGCTCGGACAGCCAGCTGAGCCTGTCGGCGAGACTCAAGGCGAACTCTCTCGTCGGGCGCCTCGCGTCCGCCATGTCCTCCTCCTCCTCGTCGGATGGTCGCCACGACGACGACGCTCCCGCCGCGTCGGCGGAAGACGTGGAGTCGCTCTCGCTGGAGGACTGCGGGTTTCCTCTGGACATGTTCGGCCGCGGCGCCGTCTGCCACCCGTACATGAGTCTCTCGCACCTCGACCTCGCCGCCGACCCCGCCGTGACCTCGCTCGTCGGCGGCGCCACCAACGGCCTCTTCCGACACAAGCGCAAGCTGTTCGACGTCGTCGTCGACGTCGTCGCCGCGGACGACGGCGCGGCGGCGGCGCGCGTGGACGTCGTCGACCCCGACCTCGGGCGTCTGATCGCGCTCACCGCCGCCGACCTGCGATTCGCCGACCGCCTCGTGCGCACGGTCGCCGACGCCGATGGCGATGACTCGCTGTGGGAGGGCGGCGACGAGTGGATACGGCTGCAGTTCAAGTGGTACCTCGTCGCCCTGCTGAGCACGTACGAGGCGGCGACGGCCGA